ACCTTCGAGGACATTCGGCCTGCTGCTGCTGACGCCAAGTGGGAAGTCGTTCCACACACGCAGGAGCTGGACGCGTCCCCGGATTTGAGCACCACATGCCTCATGTGGCGCCGCGCGTTGGCTGTTTTCCGCCACATCCAAGAGTGGCGCCTGAGCTCCTAGAGCCTGCACTGGAACATGTTTGGGTCTGTGGGTATAACCCCTCAAATGAATGAAGATATATATATATATATAACCACCTGTTAAGTGCAAGGGTTTGTTTTTTAAGGGTTGGTATATATGTTTGGATCCCAGACCCTACCCACCAGAGGCACCTATAAGTATAGTGGGCCAGGAGATGCCCTGAATCCATACCGGTCACAGCGACCAATCCTGTAGCCAGGAAAACTATGCCAGCTGAGTGGCTTTGGATTTGGCAATGTTTCCTTTGTTAAACAAACAGATAGGAGTTCAACGGTTGTGGCTTTGGAAGCAAACTCGAGTTGTGAGTTTTGGAGCAGTTGTGCGCGCAACACCAACACACACACACACACGCACACCCACCAAAATTTTCAAATTTGAAATTTTTTTTTCAAAAGTCTACCTTTTAATTTAATATTAAAAGGAACATTTTTGATTTTTTTTTCAAATTTGAAAATTTTTGCTGCGCAGGCTTTCTGCTCAATGTCTGTTTCCCAGACTTTGGAGTAGATGTTTGTTCATTGGACTGGTGGGGCTAGACCTTGGCGTCCTTTGCTCTTTGTGAGTCAGGACCTGAGGACATAACATATTGCACATCTTGTCCTTCCGGTTTGTTTCTCCTTCCTGTCCCCTTTCTTGTTCTTCTCTTGCTGGGTCGATGTGTTTGTCTGTCTTTTGCCGGTTTTTGGGAGCACCGTACAGGATGGCAAGTGCGATGCGCTCTCTCTTTTTTTTTGAGACAAAGAGAGAGAGATGAGCTGCAGCTCTTGCTTGGCGCTGCTCTCAGCTTTTCCACCCCTGAGTAGCTCCCTGTCTGTGAGGCCACTTGTCTTGAGTACCACTTGTCCTTGCCATGGCTGGTGCGAGCAAGGCTGCTGCGCCCAAGAAGCCTGCTGCTGGTAAGGCTGCTGCGCCCAAAAAGCCTGCTGGCAAAGCTGCTGCTAAAGCCAAGGCCAAGGCAGAGCCTGCTGCTGGGGCTAAAACGGGGCAAGTCGACTGAGGCCTTGGAGGTAGAAACCGTCTCCAGTGCTGCAGAGAAGATGCAGCTTCAGCAGCGTGTCTTGAACCTCATGAAGTACAGGGCCAACCACTCCAAGGATGCAGAGAAGAAGTCACAGGCTCAGCAGTTTTTGGACATGTACTGGAGCAAGACAGCGGCTGAAAAGGAGGGCCTGCTCAAAGAGTTCGAAGCTGCTGGCGGCAAGAACAATACCCAGTGGCTCATGAGTGTGGAGAACCAACACACGGATGCTACGGAGTCCCGTGACAAGCTGCGCGAAGGTTTTTTTACAAGGACTCTTTTGAAACTAAACTCCCACAGCGGTCCCCACCCCCAAGACAGAAAAGAACATTTTTTGTTTGCTGCCCTGCCAGGAACCAGATTTTGGAGATGAACGCCTTCCAGCCGGACTCGATGACCTTTGAGCGCAAGGATTCTCTGGTGCAGCACCTAATTGCTGAGTCGGTCGAGAAGTTTGCCTTCAAAGCCGAGAAGAAAGAGCACCCTGAGGAGAAAGAGTTGGATAAGTTCATGTATGTCTTCTACGGTGGCAACTTTGTGGACCACTTAAAGCGAAAGAGTTGGCCACTTTCATGAAAGAGTTGGCCACTGGCTGTTGGCCTCAGACCAGATCAGACGGAAAGCCATTTGACGACACCGATGCCTGGAGGAAGAAGGCTTTGGGCTCTGCCATGCCTTTGCCCCGTGGGGTGCTGCTGGAAATCAAAGGTGATTGGTCAGCCCTCAAGTCTGTCTTTCGCTTCCCTGGCTGGCGCGACAAAACTGGCTGCTGCTATCGATGTGATATGACGCCAGACCGCATTCGCGAAGTGGCCTCCAACTCCGACTGGCGACAGCCCAGCCACCGCCTCTGCCATGCTGATCTCTTGGTCAGGATGGTGGCTGATGGGAAATCGATTTCTCCAGCCTTCAACATTCCATTTGTCACCACCGAAACCTTCCAAATGGATTGGCTCCACACCACTGACTTGGGCATCTCCTTGGAATTCTTAGGGGGCATCTTGGCTTGGGCCTGCGATTACCTCGAGGGCAACCAAGCGCAAAAGTGCAGCGCTCTACACTTGCGTATGAAGGCCTACTACAAGAGAACCTGCAAGACTTCTTGCTTGCTGGAGCTCAAGCCCACAATGATCTGGAAGCAGCCTGGCGCCTATGCCCGCTTGCGGGCGAAAGCCGGTGAAGCTAGGGACCTCATTGATTTCGCGGTCGAGGTCACAAACGAGCTCTTCAACCACACACAGCCTGCGGCCGCCACTGCAGCAGCAGCCGCCCTGCAGTTGCAGGTCTGCTACCAGCAGCTGAGCAAAGAGGCCTTTCACAGAGAACTTCTAGAACAGGCTGCCCTGCGCTTCGCCCTTCTCTATGTCGCGCTGGGTGATTACTCCGCGGCTCATGGCTGGAAGACTTTTCCGGCCAAGCCAAAGCTGCACGCCTTTCTCGAACTTGTCCAGACTAGCACTCCGCCGTCTGCCTTCTGGACATACACTGAGGAGTCATGGGGCGGTAGGATTGCACTCTTGGCCGAGCGCAGAGGTGGGGGAAGCACTGCAAAAGCAGTGGGGCTCTCTGTGTTTGACCGTTTTGCTGCACAGCACGATGTGCCGGAGCTCTGAAGTGGACTCTAACATGGAAAATATGTCGTTTCTCTTGCCAGTCAACATCCCTTAAATAAGGGCTTTTGGAACATCCCTTAAATAAGGACTATAGTCTCTAATTTAAAGCTTAAAGCTTTAAATAGAGGAGGTACCTTCTCTATTTTAAGGGGTTCAACCTCTAATTAGAGTCTATAGACCTTATTTAGAGGTTTTTCATTGAAAAAAAGACTATAGTCTTTAAATAAGGGTGGAACCTCTAAATAGAGACTTTTGGAAGATCAGGGCTGTTGTAGCCTGCTATGAACCTGGCGTACAGGAGGTATTCCGACTGCCGAGTCGGGGTTGCTGACTCTCGGTCGATGTGGCGCAGGTCTGGATCATTGTGGCCAAGTGCCACAACGCGCGTCTTGGCGCGCAAGGGGCCAACTCCCTTGGCCTTGTCCCTGTATGCCGCTCTGGCCTTGAGGATGCGGCGTTTGAGAACAGGGTCTTGGTGCACTTCATCGGCTTCCTTCTGAGTGAGGGGCACCACTGAGCTGAACTGCTGCCAAGAGGTTTCTTCAGCTCTGGCTGACTCCACATACTTGGCGAGGTCTTCAGGTGGGAGTGCCATGATGCTTTGCCAAGGGATCTCTTTGTCCAAGTCTTTGTCCAAGGCTTTCTGTTCCTGCCTTGTGCGTGCCTTCTCCAGCATGCCACCGCTGGACTTCGTCAGTGGTGTCTTGACTCCTTGACTTCCCAGGGTAATGTCATCGCATGAGATGTCGGAGTCACTGCTTTCGCCATCACCGCAGTAGTCATCTGTCTTGCGGTAGGCCTTGAGGGCCTGATGGCATGCGAATGGCATCCTTATTTCATCGGATCCATCGCTGCAGGGTTCCTTCAACTGGATGCCCTCTGGTGTGTTCACCAGACTGGTGCTGTGCTGCTGCTGCTGCGGCGGGTCGGCCTGGTACCATAGTTCGGTGACCATGTCGGTGCGACTTGGAAAACTGTGGCGCTCGCTGGCGTCGTAGGGTGCATCCCAGATTGTTTGGCCACTGGGATACAAAAGCACCCGTCTGTGCTGGATGCATCTCTGGGGAGGTCCATTGAGATGCGTGTCCTGGAGGGACTGTGATGTCAAGTCCCGACGGGCCCACACTTGAAGTGGGTTGCCTTCCGGTGTTGCTGCTTTGGCCATGTGCTCATAGCCGCGGAGGTGGTAGGAGTTGTCTCCAATGCGCCAATAATGGCTTGTGTGTTGTGCCACCAGTGCCTTGTGTGTCGGCTGGCTGGGAATCGGCTGTTCCATCTCGGAACTGCTCCTCTTCGAGGGGTGCTGAATGCCCAGTTCTGGCGGTGTGGTTGGAGCAATGTTCAAAAGGTGCTCCTGGCCTGGCGCTGCTTCTGGTAAGGCGTCCACGTCGATGACGTCTGGCTTCTCAGTCTGGGTGACAGCTGATGTGTCAGCTGGTACTGGTGTTGGGATAGGTTGTGGTTCCTGTCCTGTTGCTGTGCCTGTTGCATTGGATGGTGCATCTTCCAATGCTGGCGCCGGTGTTGTTGGCGCAAGTGAAGGCGTGCCTGGCCTTCTGTGTGTAGGCGTCCGTGACCGGTGTGGCCTGCGGACGGGCATGTTGACAGCGGGTTGCATCCACTGTTCTGGTGTCATGCCAAATCGGTTCTGGGTCTGGATGACGGTCTGCCTGTAGGTGGGTGAGTGTACGTTCACCCTCAGGTCAACCTGTGGTTGTAGATATGGGTCTGTCTGAACTGCTTCTTCCTGCTGCTCTTGTCCTGGCGTTGAACTTGTGGCACAAATTACTAGTAAAGGTAGTTCGGAGACAGGAATGTCTTCTGCCGTGGGCTCGATGGCGTCATAGCCAAGGGGCTGTTCTGGATCATCTGGAGGCTCTGGAATGCTGTCGTCCTGAAGCAGTCCATTCTTCAGGTTCTGCTTCGAAGCCTTTGGCTGTTCTCAACTGGTGTGGTGCTACTCGGACCGTGTTTGTTCCGGCCTGGAGCCAGTAGCTTTTGCCGTCGGGGTCTTGTCCCAAGAGCCTGGCGAGTTTGTATCCGCCACGCTTCTTTCCACTTCTGGCTGTCCATCTCCAGTATGCCACTATGCTGCCGATCTCGGGGATGTCAGCTGCTGATGGCTTAGTGTTGCGAAGGAGTGCACGGCGTAGTGAGCCGTCAATGGACATTGCTGCCAGATGTTGTTATGCTTCAACACGTAGTGCATCTGCTTGCATCTGTGTTTGTGATCGTGTCTGGCCTGTGATCAGGCCGTGCTTGTCGTTCAAAAGGCTCAGGCCTTGGCGTGGTATGCGGCCAAATGCTGCCACATATGGAGGACGGCCGGATGACCATGTGCATGAGTTCTTGGCTGTGGTGGCTGCAATGAGCACTTCATCCATGGCTTCTGGCCCAACTGCAGCTCGAGCGTCTGCGATGCGCTCGACCAAGCTTCTGAGTGTGGCGTTGTGCCTTTCTATCAAACCAATCTTGTTGTGAGCCTCGGCGGGGATGTAGTCCATGAAGACTCCCTGCTCATCCATGTGGTCCTCGAAGGTGGACCTGAAGCTTCCATCTGCATCGGTTCTGATGCGGAGAGGGTAGCCGAAGTTGCGGCTCCATGAAGTCTGGAACTTGCGGGTGACTTCTTCTGGTGTGCGATCTGCCAGGAGTGTTGCCACGTGCAAGTGTGTTGTCTCACATATGATCCCCAAAACCAAGAAGTTGGTTGACTGGATGTCTCGGAGGTAGACGATGTCCATCTGCAGTCGGTCTCCGAATTGGCTGGAGCCATGCCACCTCGAGGATCTGGCTTGTTGGGTCCTCGGGTGCGATCAGTGTAAATGGATGAGTTCTTCACACCGTTCATTGCCAGCATCTTCGTGAGTTCTGTGGCATGTGGATGGCCCAGGTTCTTGTGGAGGCGACGAACTGCTGTCTTGACCTCAGCTGGTATATTCAAATCAGCTGGAAAGGTGATTTCCTCCGTGGGCTTTGCCAGTCTCCTGAGAGGATCATTCTCTTCTGCTGCTGCTTGTGATGCTGCTGCCTGTTCTGCTTGCGCTTGTTCAGGCTGTTCCGGTTGTGGCGCAATATGAGTGCCAAACATGAAGATGCCAACCTCGACTGGTTTTCTGAACCTTGCCTTGGGATGTCGTAGAAGTTGGAGGTCTTCTTCAATGACCTCAATGGTGCCATCGTTGTACCTGAGAGCGGCTGCTCTGTGTGTGCGCGGTATGTGCGATGGAAACCGCCAGGTGATTGGCTGTTTGGAGATTTGCACTCTCTCCATGTGGTTCCACTCGCAAAGTCGGCTGACCTTGGCAAAGAGTGGATCAGACACTGGAAGAATAAAGCTCTTGTAGCGGGTCACTTGGAAGGTGGACTCTGCCATGTCCAATGCTTCGGACCATGCTGGTGCTGCCGTGTTCATGTAGACATTGTATGTCTTGCCTGGTGGTGTGCTCCGGTCTGGGTATTGGGCTGTGAGCTGGTCTCGAACTCCTTGAAGGATTTGGTCGACCAGTCTAGGTGGGTAGACCTGTGACAAGGTCGTCTCCTTGCCTTCTAAGGGCACACATTGCTTGAGCTGCTCTGGCGGCAAACGCCTGGTGAGGCGGCGAAGCACCATGGGACAGTTGCCAAGAAAGCGATGTCCCTTCTTGATCATCTGGCCCTTGGAATTGGTCGCTCCGTAGGCCCCAGCGTGGCATGCAGCAAACTCAACGTTCGGCAGCTTGAGAAGGTCTTGGATGTCCTTCTCGTTCCAAATCCTGCTGGTGAGAGGATTCTCCAACAGGAAGTATCTTCCGGCTGCAGCTTGCTTGTGGCACCATTTGCACACTGCTTTGAGCATCTTGCGTGCCTTGGCACGTCTCATCAACAGCAGGATCTTTCGCCTGACGTAGTTGGTGTTATCTTGCAAAAGACACCAATCCTTGCAGTCGATGCCTTGGATGAGGATGAAAGGTGTGAGCTCATCCAATGTCTGTTCAACCTGGAGCTGGTGAGTGGGCTTACTCAGGTCCCAACCGGTGTTGTAGTCCATAGGGTGTGCCGCTGTGAGGTGGTACTTGGGGCATCGCCTGGCGATGTTGGCGGCGCCTGCAAAAGTCTCCAGGATGTCGACCTTGGGTCGTTTGGCTCGCTGCTGAGGTATGTTCTGGAGGTCGGGCTGCTCATGGGCGGTCTGGTTCACCAGTGTGTGTTCGAGCTGGAGGACATGGTGTGTCTGCCTCACTGAGTTTCGAAGATCCCTTCGGCCTGCTGACGTGAGGTAGGCACGAGAGCTGTTGTTGGTGCTCTCAATGGTGAAGATAGTGCGGCCTGTCCATGTCTTCTCAAGCTGGGTTGGAAAGATGGTGTCCCAGCAGTATGTGATGGTTTCAAATGTCCCATCCTCATAGTTGATCTCAGCCCGGCACTCCGATGCAAGGCAATGTTGAGGGATTGGGCATTGGACTCGGTTGAGGTCCATGAGGAGAATTCTTGGGAGAACATGGCGCCGGATGCACTTGTTCTTGCATGTCTCCCAGTAGTCGTGGTCGTTGAGCTCATCCGTCAAATGCCCCTCCAATCCCATGTCTCCGGATCTGATGGATGGCGATCCGGGTCGTCCGGGTCGATCTGGTGCTTCATTCACACTCCTTCCATCATGTCGTTGAACTCCTCCTTGGTGTAGCCGGTGCCAAGGTAGCCACCTTCGCCCTCCGACTGGCTGAGGGCTGTGATGGATTGGCAGCTGAGGTGAACTGGTGGGCCTGGCTGTTCCTGCCGAAGCTGCTGGACTTCTTGGCAGTGGCCTTGCTCTTGGGGCTTGTAGCTGACAGCCTGCACATCTCTTCCGTTGTCAGGATGGTAGCCTGTGACGGCAATGGCAGCTGTGATGAGCTTGAGGACTTTGGTGAGTATACTGCCCAGGCCTCCTGCTCGTTGATCCATCTGAACCTCTGGTCGCACCTCTTGCATCGTGCGAACTTGCCGTGAGCATTTCCGTACCGTTGGAAGGCCGGATGTGAGCATGTCTTCGGAGAGGGCTTCGGCCTGGCCATCTTGAGGAGTTGCTGGCTCTTTTGCTCTTCCGCCTCGGTGGCGGTCAGCCATGAACGTGGACGAATGCCCACTCGCACCAAGCGGCTCATCATCTTGAACACGTTCAGCTCCAACATCAGGAGCCGGAGAAGGAAAGTCCTCCACCGGGTCAGCCATTCCGGTGGTTGTCTGGTGGACGACTGAGGCATGAGCGAGCGTAGGTGCGATCGAATTTGAGCCACTTTGAGAGATCGTGGCTTCCGGGTGGATGACAAGCTCAGGCGACGGCTTCGACCAAAATGAACTGTCAGTCAACTGATCCCAACAAATCATCTGTGAACACTGAGGTGGAAATGCCGTGATACGTGCAACAATGTGACCATGCTTGCGAACCAAAGGAATTGAAACTCCAATCTTCACAAAATGCAAGACACAATGATGCAAATCAATGATGCTGCCCAATTGTTCCAACAAAACTCTGCTTGCAAGAAACGGGATGTTCAATGGCAAAACGCTGACACCAACAATCACTCCCTGGGTCTCCTGACCTGGCAATGCAATGGGGAAGTAGCATCGCTCTGCTGCTTGCTGTGTTGTACCTGCACCGAACTGAAACTTGTCCGAGCAGTCTTCACGAACCGTCTGCATCCCGTGGTTCTGGAGGATTTTGGAGTGGGTGGTCATCCAACGTTCCCCTGTGCAAGACTTCTGGCAGGCAGTATCTAAAACCATGTATCCACTCAAATCGATGGCTTCCGTGATGTAAACAAAAGGGTTGGCATCATCCTCGACGAGGTTGGTGGGGAAGTTGTGAAAGGTCTCAGGCCCTGGTGGATCTTCATACTGATCTTCGTCCCCGAAGTTGACCACAAACGCTTTCTTTGGGTATGAGGTGGTAGTCGAGCAGGATGCTGACTGACCTGAAAACCTGGATTTGTCTTTCCCCTTCTGCTGGTTCTTCCCTGATCCCTTGGAAGTGCTGCTGCCCCCTTTGCTCGACACGGGGCAAATGCTGTCACCGGCCCAGTGTCCCATTGCACCGCAAGCCGCACATGAAGACGACCGCTTTCGATCTTCGATCGACCGTCTGCCAGTGAACTTGCGTCCCAACACAGTCGCTTGCAGCTTCTTGGAAGTCACAGTGAGGACCTGTGCAAGGTTGTGCAATGCTTCATCTGCATCGTCCTGGGGCTCTGCTTCCTCCTGCTCGGGATCATCTTGTTCCTGTGGCTCCTCTGCTTCATAAAACTCTTCCGGGTCAACGTCCGGCAATTCCGGCTCAGCCTCATCTTCCTCAGCGACCTGCTCGGTCTGGTACACACGCTTCGGATAGGAAGGGTAGCCCTTCCCCTTCCCACGGTTGAAGGCTGATGCGGATGAGGGCACTGTTGATGTGGTTGAGCTCGAGTGCAATGAACCACTGTGCGACTTGCCGCTTGGCTTGTAACCTGAAGGCTGCTTGTTGCTATGCCAATTGTTGCTCTGAAAGATGGATGGTGTCTGCTTGAAATCCGGAAATTGAAGCTGCAAACTCTCAACAATTGCATCAAAATCCAAACTGTTGTGGGCACCAATCAACACCAATCGTGACAACGATGGCTCAAGCTTGCAACGCTCCAAAAGTCTGTTGCCGCGGCTTTCTGAATCATACATTGCACCTGCTGAAATGCCAACCGTCTGAAGATCTCGCTCGATCCTCTTGTACCTGTCGATGTACTGTCGAACTGATTCCTGCGGGGTTCGGTTCGAGCCACCGTCTCATAGGCTGCAAGGAGGGACCTCTTCTGATACAGAACTTTCTGCTCCAATGGACCCTTCAAGCACGAGATGATGTACTCGACGCCCTCCTTCGAGTTCACCTTGGCGAGCGACATGTGTTCGCTTTCAGCCTCAGCTTCGCCAGTCAAACTGGCAAATCAAACCAGCCTCTGCACCTGTCAACTGGTTCTGCACCTGAAGCCTCCAAACCTGAACACGACGTTCCCACTTCGAAAACGCTCGCAAATCTGAGCTGTTGTAACTCCAACGTGGAGGTGCCGGCGGTGTTCCGCCCTTCCACTTCACGCCAGGAATGGGGCCACGGCGACTGTCCCAGCTACCCTGCGAAGCACGATCGGATCCGCGCTTCTCATCAAGCAGCTGTCGCATGACCTCCAACAACTCATTTGAACTCTTTGCAACTGTACCAACTGTTGTACCTGGCAACCTTGAAGGCATAGGCAATCTCGATGGGGATGGTCTCTCAACATTCGATCCTGCAGCCGATGGAGCCCTGGGGCTAGCGACATCCGGTTGTGGCGGCTGAGGATCAACAACACTGCGGTTTCTCCTTCTTCGACGTCTTGAGGAGGTGGTCGACTGCCGTTCGGACTCAACAACATTGGGCCAGCTGTAGGTCGACGAAGGCGCAACCACCGACGGATCATCCGTCGGCTCTTCACTCTCACCAGTCTCCCGCGCAGGAGGCGGCGTCTCAACTGCAGGCCTCCGGGCAGAAGGTGAAAGGACAGGATCGACGGGACTGCTGTCAACGTGCGGCACGTACAACCAAGTTCCTTCTGCTGTAGCTTGCCTTGTCGGCTCGGCAACGTTGTAAAACTCACCAAAACCGCAAGAAACACAACTGGAGCCAGGGACAATGCTCTGCTGTTGTACAGGGGTATTGCACCGTAAACAACGCATCAACGGAGTTGGTGGGCTCGACGATGAAGGTTGGCCTGGATCATCAACTGAAGCGTACAGGCGTTCCAAAGCATCCAGCTCTTCCGGACCCCACTCGAAGCGGGAGGCTGAATCATCCTCAGAAAGCGGCGTGTACTGCTCCATGGCGCAGGCTCCGGCGCCAACTTACTTACATGTGTGCATTGACATGCAAGTGAAGCGGACGCGAACGCTGGCTTTTCCGCCAAAGCTAAAGGTCAATGGCTCTGTGCGCACCTAGGCCGATATGGCCGCCGGGACATCAGTCCCATGACATGCTATGCGAACGGTCCTGCACAGCAAACTTCACACTGGGGTCATTTTTGTTTATGGATGTGTACGATGTTTGAATGAATTTGGTCATATCGATTTCATTTAGAACAATGGACAGTTATACTAAAAAACAATATATGAACATTGTTAGATATATATATATATATTCTGAATATTGTTTTTGCCAGACTTGTCAGATCTCAATTCTAAAGTCAAAGGATGTTAAAGGATACAATACAATAGAAACAACAAGGTCTTAATCTCGCTTGGCAGCTTGCCACACTTGAATCATAGGAGGATGTATACAGTATTGCGGTTCACACCCCTGCTGCAAAGAGAAACTCTTCTTCTTCACGTCTATAACCAATCACCCAAACAAATTATAAAGCAGCAGGTACTGCAAGCCCTACAAGCCCCGAATCGAGCCACCCCTATGCTTTGTTCATGTTCAATTCCACCATCTCGACAGGTCCTGAGGATTCTCAATGGCCACAATAATGCCTGGGGTCATTGGACACACCAGACCACGGACTACACCCACTTATCTACAACCATCACTTGCTCTTGTGGGTCATCAGGTGATTCACCAAACCGGTCCACCACCGTTCACCCACGGTCCCACGGTCCACCCTCCGCAAAGGTCGCGAGACGCGTCTCACGTGTTTCCATGGGTGCCCGACGTCATCGTGGGGTTCCCTGGATGGACCACCATCCAAACGACGAGGAGACACTGTGGATTCAGGTGTTGGCATAGTCTTGCCTGGGCTACCCGGCTACCCCAACCTATTGTGGCACCCTCCTGCTTTGGACATTGCCACGGCGGATTGAATGGTTTTCCTACCCAGAGCACCGACGGAAGCTTCCAACCTGAGGGCCCCAGAAACAAAAAAACAATTAACAAACTGAGTATTGTAGTCCTTACATGTCCACATGGAGTCCTTCAACCCTTCGACCTTAGAGTCTTCAGACTCCATGCGCCCCCGGCTCTTCATCACCAAAACACGTTCTATCAAGATGCATGTGGCCCATTGTGGCACATGAACTCTCCCGCCGGGCGGCGAGCCGCGACCTGGATCTTCTCCCACGTCTTGCCCAAATGGATGATGTGGATCCCGTCCACGGTGCGACGGAAGACGTAGCGCTTCATGCGGTAGTCGATGTTGCGAGTGCCCAAGTGGGTCTTGCAAACCAACCTCGGTGGACCAGTGGATGACCAATGGGAAGATATGAGATATGAGATAAATGTCGACCGCTTGGACACGAACATGTCATCTTCGAAAGCTTGTGACGGGTCAGCATGGTTCATCCGACAATGCATCTTTTGCCGGAGGAAAGGGCCCGTGAGGGGTCACCACGGAGTCACGTATGATACACTCAGGAGGAACATGGAGGAACCGGGACAAACAAGCAAGTTTCCCGAGAAGGGGGTTCACCAACAGGGAAAACAACAATGCTAAGCAAAACCAGCTACGGTATATCCACTTTGTTTGCCTTTGGACAATCAAACATGCCAAGGTGTTCCATAGAAGTTCTTCTGACCATGGCCGTATAATCATCTCTGTAGTATCTGGGAGCCTCGTGAGAGGATCTCAAATTAAATAGCTTATTTTTTAACATTGCTCCTAGTAGTAAGGCCAGGACCTAGTAGCGATGCCCTTGCTCCTAGTAGGTCATGGCAGGTCCATGAAACCAGGATATTATGTTTTTAAAAGTCCAACCCTCCCATATTAGTCCTTCTGTAGACCCTTAGCTACAGTATGCTTTCGAGTCCCCAACACCGAGGGAAGCAAGGCCTTGAAAACGAGTTTCCTCTACAATTGGGTGGTCTTCAGGGTCGTTCGTCTGCGGGCAATCCACAAGTCTCAGGGGGCGCGGAGTCGTCTACTTCCTCGGGAATGCCGGCGGTTTGGGGCATTGATCTCGACAGGTGGTTGGTGCTGAAGGCTGAAGCCGTCTCCTTTGTGATATGGTTCCTCCCACACACACATACATACATATATACGTATATACTGTATGCATATATGGAGGCCACTTTTTGGTGTATGCATATATTGCATATATGTGGGAATTACTGCACTTATACTTGTCATTGGCTATCACTACTGTCACAATCCAGCCACTGGCACGCCGAAGTCAAACTTGACCCACGCTCACTTCCGCTCACCCACCCAAGGTGGCATCTTGACCATGCTGAGGCTATCGGGCCAATGAGGCATTTACTATTTCCAATTCCATCTCCATCCAAATCTTGGTGACCAAGAGGCATCATCTGCACATCTTCTTCTTTGCTTGCCATGGCGCGAGGCGGCGCACGCGCCGAGCCAGCGCCGTTTTTCGGCCGCGGCCTACTGGTGTGCCGAGTCTGCCGCGGGGTGCGGAACTGACACAACGGACTCGGCAGCTTGTCCAACTTTCTGCTGTGCGGTGGAGAAAAACATCGAAAAGGAACCATGTGCTCTATCATGTAGACCTCGTGAAATGTTCAATTACTCTCTAAAATGACCTAGAATCTATAGAGGATCTAGAGGAGAGGCACCATGAAATGCCGCTGTCGTTCGCGGATTCCCCTGGCTGCTCAGAGTCCGGACGAAGCAAAAGCTGAAGCCGAGGCCCCAGGGAAGCAAAGTGCGAGGAGAGGCAGTGTCCTGGCAACACATAGCTTGTGGACATCAATCGGCACAACCTCCGAACGGCCCGGAATTGCGGTAGTTCCAAGGAATGGCAATGACATTGCCGTTAGAAGCACTTGGAACATGGAATGCTTCACTCACCATCAGCTTCAAAGCCTCTTCAAAGGCTTTGAAAGTAAGAACTGTGATGCTCATGAACCACATCGTCAGGTGCTGGCCCATGAGCTTTGCATGAACCCATCAGGCCAACCCATGGGTAAAGATATAGCAAAACCGAATGGGCTGCAAAAAGAGCGAAACGGCCCGAAGGACCAACCAACAAAGTCCTTTAATGTCACTGAAGCGGAAAAAAAAGAGGGAGTTCCTTTGAGAAACCCGACGCATGTTCACCATATTTGGATCTAAGATGGGCTTCCATAACAAGACAAGGCATATATATATATATATTCAACTCAGTAAATTTAAGAAATGGAATCAACTCCCCCAAGGCTCAGGCTGAGCCCAAACATTTGGGGTGTGAAGCACGGTCGGCGGTCCAATGCCTTGCCAAGTTCTTCCAGCATCCTCCGCAGAAAAATCGGTGCAGCCACCTCGGCCATGGACGACAAGCATTGGCTATCAACAAGTGCATGGACTGTTTGCAGCAATGCAATTTAATACAGTTTAACACTCACGTCACTGGCAAACCGGAAATGAATTGAAATTGACAGAAGACTGAGGCAACCATGTCACCAAGGTGAGGTGTAGTTATGCGTGCATGTATAATATATACACGTGTGTGTGTGTGTCTTTGCATATGTGTATCAAATGTACGCCCCAAAAGCGGCTTATATGAGGTCAAAACCTTGCGGGCAAAATGAACATCCAAACGAGCCCGATTCTGGCTCCTGTCACGCATTGTCTGGGGGGTTCTATGGGAACAAGCTACACTTGATAAACGAAGAATTGCTCTTCGTCTCTCTTCCGCCTTGTCTGCTTGAACCATGAAGGGATCGACAAAACCCAGCAAATCCCCAGCAGTGATTGCCTGCCGGGACTGGTTCAAGAAAGGAGTACAAACCCCCAAGTGTTGAAAGAATGCTAGAGTATGTTGAGTTGTGTTGCTATGGGAAATGAATAGACTTGCTATCCAACTCTCTCTCTCTCTATGTATATATAGATATACCCTTGGTCACTTGGTGTTTAAACTTACAATTTGTCAGGTTCACACGGATAGGTGGCCCAACTATTGCACTCCCATGCCCACTTGCGCAAACCACCGAGGGCTATGCGTAGGCAATGGTGCCTGAGATGGACATGGGGTGGAGCAGTCATCATTCATCCCGATGCTCGGGAGGCCCAACAAAATCATAACTGCACCGAAAAACTCCTTGAAAAGGAAGTCCTGATCTTGTCATGCTAGTCCTGTTCCCATCTGTGAATGACTTGGACTTGGATTGGTGGAGGCCCCAATGTGTAAAGTCTAAAGCTACTGTCCATCAACTTTGCAGAATGACAGCAATCCCCAGGAGGAGAATGGGCGCGCAGAATCATCCCCCTTCTCGCTATAGGGCAACGGGTGGAAGGGCCTTCCACATGGCTCCCAAAATCCCTGAAGTACTGGTTGGTTCAAATTGTCTCCGCTTCAAATCGGTGTGAAGCTGAAGTACACAAAATCCGAGCCCGAGCCCGAGAACAGTCGACTCAGGGTAGATCGTTTGCTCTTGCCAAGCTGCACAGGATGCTGCAAATGAAGAAAAGCACACCTCGCTTGACAATAAACTTAAACAGCTCAGCTGGTTCTTGTCATGAACCTAAACTCAACCGCAAAAGGTTAAACGGTTGTTGTAAAAAGGTCTGCCTTGCTTATCCAAGGGTTCTTTAATTCTATCACGGCATCACAAAAGCATCAACAAGTTGATGATCCCATGCGGCATGAACAAAATAATCAACTAATAAACAAAAACACACATTTAAAAACAAAACCATTATATATAATATATATATACATATATATATGTGTGTGTTTGACATGTTTTTACTGTATCTAAAGCTACATTAAGTCCACTGGTTTGCCTGAGCTGACCACACCCCAAAAATCGCCTTGTCTCTCTCTCTCTCTCTCTCGACTGGAATGCAATTGTGCAACTAATTTTGCAAGCAAAGGTTCATTCGAATGCACCGTGTGAACACATGCAGGCACTTCTCGCGTCGGTGTCCGATACCAGCTTTCAGCTTTGACAC